CGACCAGGGGCAGCTCCAGCAGCACGGCGTAGGTCAGGTTGCGGCTGACCAGCTCGAACAGCGCTCCGGCCAGGACCGGCGGCACCAGCAGCGCCAGGGTGACGATCCAGCCGCGCGCCACCCGGGTGGCGCGGCTGCGCTCGGCCCGGTCGAGGCGGCGCTGCAGCTCGCGCGCGCCGCGCACCAGCCGGGCGCGCGGCGGCGCCAGAAGGCCGGTCAGCCAGGCCCCGCCGAGGTAGCCCTCCAGGCCCATGGCCAGCAGCAGCAGAATCAGGGGGTCGGCCGACCCGAAGGCACCCGGCAAGCTCGGCATGGCGCGGAGCATCCGCAGCCGGCCGGCCGCGGTCAACTCTCCCGCGTCTCCCGCGCCCGCGGTCGCCCGCGCGCGGCCCCCGCGCCGGGCAGCGACCGCACGCCGCAGGTCCGGCCGCCGCCCGCGGCTTGTCCGGGCCGGCCGAGCTGCCTAGCATGGCGGGATCGCGTGACGGGATCGCGTGACGGGGCGCGGCGGCGGCAGGTCGCCCGGCCTCGCAGACCTCGACGGGGCCTCCCTATCCGTGTGCTGCTCGTCAGGACTTCCGACAAACGAAGAGGTTTGGATGCCGCAGACTTGGTTCGGCCGCGCCGGCATGGCGCTTTCGGTGCTGCTTCTGATCGCCGCCCTGGGCGTCGCCGGCTGGTGGTACGTCACCCAGCCGGGCGAGCGCGTGCAGGCGGTCGACGGCAGCGGCCATGTGCCGATCGGCGGTCCCTTCGAGCTGGTCGACCAGACCGGGCAGACCGTGACCGAGGCGGACTTCGCCGGCCAGTACACCCTGGTCTTCTTCGGCTTCACCTACTGCCCGGACATCTGCCCGACGGCCCTGTGGGAGATGACCCAGGCGCTGGACATGCTGAGCGAGCAGGCGCCGGAGAAGGCCGAGCAGGTCACGCCGATCTTCATCACCATCGACCCCGAGCGCGACGACGTGGCCGCCATGAAGGCCTACGCGGAGAATTTCCACCCGCGGCTGGTGGCGCTGACCGGCACGCCGGAGCAGATCGCCAAGGCGGCGCGCGAGTACCGCGTCTACTACAAGAAGGTCGAGGACGCCTCGGACTCCACCTACCTGATGGACCACTCCGGCTTCGTCTACCTGATGGGCCCGGAGGGCAGGTTCCTCAAGTCCTTCACCCACCAGACCCCGCCGGAGGAAATGGTCGCGGAGCTGGCGCGCCGGGTCGAGGGCTGAGAGTAGGGGGCTGAGAGTGGAGGGCTGAGACCTGCGCCCGGCGGCCGGAGCGGTTTGCGTCCCCACACGGCCGGACAGTGGCGCCCGCCCCAGCCGCCGCCACAGCCGCCGCCCCAGTCGCCGCCTCAGTCGCCGATATCGCTGAAGTCGCCGCCGCGGCCCTTGCCGGCGGCGAAGCGGGCGGCGCCGTCGCGGCCCTCGGCGCGAAAAGTCTCGGCGCTGCGCCACTCGCGCGCCAGGGCCGCGGGCAGCGGCAAGCTCCACTGGTCGCGCAGGGAGGCGCGGTCGGCGCGCAGGCAGGCCTGGGGAAAGCGCGCGATCTCCTCGGCCAGGGCCACCGCCGTCTCCAGCGCCCCGCCGGCCGGCGCCGCCCGCTCGGCCAGGCCGATCCGCAGCGCCTCCTCGGCCGCCACCTTGCGACCGGTCAGCATCATCTCCAGCGCCCGCCCCTGGCCGATCAGGCGCGGCAGGCGTACCGTGCCGCCGTCGATGAAGGGCACGCCCCAGCGCCGGCTGAAGACGCCGAAGTAGGCGTCGGGCTCGACCACCCGCAGATCGCACCAGAGCGCCAGCTCCAGCCCGCCGGCCACCGCCGGCCCGGCGATCGCGGCGATGGTCGGCTTGCTCAGCTCCAGCCGGGTCGGCCCCATGGGGCCGAGGCTCTCGGTCGCGCCCGCGCCGCTCGCGTCCAGGTCGTGGGTCGCGAACCAGGCCGCGTCCACCTCGGCCGCCCACTTGAGGTCGAAGCCGGCGGAGAAGGCGCCGCCGCGCCCGGTCAGCACGGCGACCCGCGCCCCCGCGTCCCGCTCGAACGCCAGGAAGCTGTCGTAGAGGGTCTTCGCGGTGTCGGGATCGACCGCGTTGCGCGCCTGCGGCCGGTCGATGGCGACGATCCGCACCGGCCCGCGGTCCTCGATACTCACGCTCATGGCTGCGCCTCCTCCGCCGTTTCGCCCAGGTTGCATCCGGCGCCAGCCTGCGCGCGGCGGCGCGGCGGCGTCCAGACGCGGCCCGGCACAGCGCCTTTGCCGGCCGGCGCGGGCATGCTAGCGTGAGGCGTCACCGTCTGGACGCGCCCCGGCACCTCCGCCGGTCGCGAAGAATCGCTGTAACCCTTTGATGGAGAGCCGGTTTCGGGTGATCGGCGGCGCCACGCAGTGGGGTTCCGACACACGCAATCCGCTCGAGATGCCCGGTCCATGGACCTGATCGTCGAACCGGGGCCGGAGGGCCGGGCGCCGTACCTCTGGCAGGCGCGCTGGGGCGCGGAGCACTTTGCCTGCGCCATCGGGCGCGGCGGGACCGTGCCGGCGCTCGCCAAGCGCGAGGGCGACGGCGCGACGCCGCTGGGCGCCTGGGCGATGGAAAGTCTGTTCTGGCGACCCGACCGCGGCGCCAAGCCGGACTGCGGCCTGCCGGCGCGGCCGCTCGCGCCGGGCGACGGCTGGTGCGACGCGCCGCTGGACCCGGCCTACAACAGCCTGGTGCAACGCCCCTATCCGGCCAGCCACGAGGCGCTGTGGCGGGCCGACGCGCTCTATGACCTGCTGGTGGTGCTGGACCACAACCGCCACCCGGCGCTGCCGTTCGCCGGCTCGGCGATCTTCCTGCACTGCGCCCGGCCGGGCTATCCGCCCACCGCCGGCTGCGTCGCCCTGGCGCGCGGCGACCTGGAGCGGGTGCTGGCCGGCGCCCGGCCCGGCGACCGCGTGGTGGTGCGCGGCCGCCCGGCCTGAGCGCCGGCGACGATGCGGGAGGCCGCGCCGCGCGCGGGCGTGCCGGAAGGGCCGGGACTCAGGTCCGCAGCAGCTCGTTGATCGAGACCTTGGCGCGGGTCTGCTCGTCGACGCGCTTGACGATCACCGCGCA